GGTGCGTTCAGACCACGTGGGCGCGGGGAGCGCGGGCCGGTCGGGGTGTGCGTCTGCTGCGCGGGGGCGGCCCTGGAACGCGCGCAGGCGCGCGCGCGTGTGCATGTGCATGTGCATGTGCGTGTCCACGCTCACCAGGCTGTCTAGTTCTGCACCGTCCAGCTGTCCCTTCAGCCATTCATTCAGCAAGCTGTTAACTGAGTGCCAAGTACGTGCCAGACTCCGCATATGAGCGGGTCTCCACCCACCAGAATGGCTAAAATAAGAATGACTGCACCAAGGGCAGGCGAAGGGGTAGAGCAACTGGACTCTCGTATTTCTGGGGAGTGTAAATTGGTAGAGACACGTTGGAAAACAGTTTTCTAGCGAAGCCCAAAATACAGCCCAACCCGATGATCCAGCTATTATATTCCTACATCATCGACAGCCAACAGAAATGCGTAGGTCTGCGCATCAAGGGGGGAGAGAGGAGTATTGGAACGTTTGTGGCACTATTTATAATAGCCTCAAAATGGAAACAACCCATCAAAGGAGAGTGGAAAAGGAGCTGTAGCCTTTTCACACGGGAGAATGGTGTCCCACTGCACCCAGCAAGAGGGATAAGTTTCACGAAAGAAGTCAGATACAACAGTACACACTGTATGATTCCATTTATGTGAAGTTCCAAACAGACAAAATTAATTTATGGTGTGAGAAGTCAGAATAGTGGTCACCCTTGGGACTGGGAGGGGCTAAGAGGGGCCTCTGAGAACTGGTCATGTTCTTAATCCGGTGCTGGTTCCCTGGGCATATTTACCCTGTAAAACTTCACTGCTGTTTGCACTTTTCCCTGTGTATATTATACTTCAAGTAAAACTTTATTTAAAGTGAGCATGCCTTGGTTGATTTGAGACTGTTTGCCAGCAAATATGACGTGTGTAAGTGTGAGTGTCTTTGTGCGTGTGTGCTTCAAAGGCATGGCTTTTGTGTCTGTGTATTTGGTGAGACTAGGTCCTCAGAGGTTAAGGTATAGGAAGATGGTAATGGCAGCATTTTTGAACCATATTGCTGGGGTAAAATCTCAGCTCTGCTTGTCCAGTGACCCTGGATAAGTCACTTGTCTCTAATTCCTCAACTGTAACATAGGAGTGAGTTAATAAATGTGTAGCTCTTAGTGCCTTGCAAATAGTAAATACCCAATAAATATTCACTGTTAGCAAGTGTTAGATGGGTGAGGTACAGAAACTATGGTATGGAGACTCAGCAGGGCAGGAAACCCCTGATACCTAGCAAAAGGTGACACTGAGAAAACAAGAACCTTGTCCCCAGGGTAACCTATCCGCTCCAGCATATGTCTGGTCATGCGGTTTAGACCCCCTGAGCATTCCTCCCTAAAGATAACATCTAGGCCTCAGTTGTATTTCAGCTCCAGGCCCAGAAAAGCAGCAAAACCAGACAAGTGCCACCGTGGCTGCCTCAGCACCTAGATACACTGACTAATGACCCCTTGCCCTGGCACTGACCAATCAGTGGAGGCCATGACCCTGAAAGAGCACACCTGGAAAGCGATGAATATTCTATTGAGACCCTCCCCTGAGGCCTCTCCTAAGATTCAGGCCCGCAAGAAAGAGATAAATACCCTTAGGGCAAAGGACCCAGCGAGGCTCCCCACTGGGGGAGCCACCAGCACCATCCCTATCCCTCCAAGGGGACCCCATGAGACTTGCAACCAGGGGAGCAGTGGGCAGTGGGAGCTCATTCTGGGCTTACCCCCTGCACCTGTCTCCGAGGCCCCCCTGCCTGCCCTCTTTCTCTCTCCGACATGCATGAGCCAGAGCAGCCCAGCCTAGTCTCTCCTGTTGCCTCTTCTATGCTCTTCCTTGTCTCACTGTCCCAAGTATATTTTTGCTGCTATCACGGACCCAATACACTTTGGCTCAGTGCAGTGTAGCCCTTCCCTTTGGATACCCATCCCCTTTTAATAAATTTAATTTTTCTTTATTCATCCATCTGAGATGGCTATTTAGCCTGCCCGAGCAGCACCACTGCTAACCTTTCAGTAAGTATGTGATTGTGGACCCTATCAACAATCTGGCTTCATTGTACCTGCTGTTCCCTCTGCCAGTAATCCCTTTCTTTCTTTATTCCGGCAATATCCTCACAGACACACAGCCTCCTTCCCAACCCCTTCCATCACATTACCTGCTGTTGTCTATGGTCTCCCCCATCAGACTGTGAGCTCCTCAGGGAACCAGAGAGCAAGTATGGATCATCTCTGGATCCCAGAGCCCAGGACATACTGGGCATTTGTCTGCACCAGGTTAGGGAGTTGACATGTGGGTAAGACGCCCCCCTCCCCCCTCCCTGTACCCGTCTTTGAAGCTTGTTCCTGTGTGAGAATGAAAAGTCTGTATGTAGTAGACGTGGGTATGTGAGCGTGGTAAGGTGAGGTGAGCTGCTGTATCTGTCCCTCTCCTAGTAGGTGCAAGAGACACAGAGCGAAAGTATCTAAGATAGGCCAGGAGGTGTATGCCTGGGCAGGTGTTGCCCAAGCCTTAGGCCCCCCATCGCGGGCTCTCTCCCACCGCCTCACCCCCTCCCTCCAGCCAAGAGAGAGTGCCTGCACATTCCTGTCCTGCCAGCTCTGCCCTCTCCTACAGCCCCAGTTTTCTCCGAAAAGCAGCCAGGGCGCCAAGCGTTGCCCCAGAGCGGAGCCTTCTCCTTCTGGCGTGATGCAGGACTACCTCCCAGGCCTAGGCGCCCCAGCATCGAGGTCCCAAATCCACCATGCAGACAACCTGCCAGCCTCCTCAGGCCCCTTCCTAGACTAGGGCGGGCAGGCAGTGAACTGAGCTCAGGGACAAGGAATCTTGCCTGGGGCGGGAGAGGGGGGGGAATTGTTTGGGGTTCGAGCCCTGATTGGCTGCGTCCGGGCCCGCCCCTACCCCTTTC